ACATATTGGGAACACAGAAGAGTGAATTTAATTGTGTGGAAACAACCCTATGATACCCAAAACTTTTACATATGTCAGTGAAGAAGGCTTAGAGCAGAAGTGATGGACTACGAGGTAGGGACTGACACCTCCAGCCCCAGCCCTCCTGTTCAGGCATAACATCTTCCAGAAACAGTGTAGCCTCATGACTGGACTGTGAGGTGACCTGGTCCCAGCCTCTGGCTTGTTTTGTGAATACTTTATCTTTTTCAAATTATTATAAAGGATAATAATATATATTAAGCCTCTTGAGCCTACTGTGTCATTCCACTATTATGACTGATCTATTTGTGTTCCTAATTCCACCTTCCCATCTATCCACCTCTGAGCTGAAAGAAGTCAGACTTTGTTGTGAGGAAGGTCAGCAATCACACGTTACAGTCCAACAGGTTTATTTGAAAATACAAGCTTTTGGAGCCTCACTCCTCATTCAAGTGTTAGTGAGAGAGGTGGTATCAGCAACAGAATTTATAAGTAAAAGATCAAAGGCTCACAGGGATAAATTAAACAAACCTAAGATGCTGTTATATCCTTAATCAGTTAGAAGTTTTTAATTGATGATTATGTATATACTAATCCCCAAATTCCTTTCAAGTCACTATCCTGAGAGGACGAAAGGTTTTATCAGTGTGAAGAAGCGGTGATATTTAGGTCAGACAATGCACGTTAGGTGTGAGGACTTGTTTAGAATCTGTTTGCATTTTGGTTTGGAGTCAGACTGGTTTTATTTCTAAAGTAGGAATTTACAAAAACACCATATTGACTGACTGTCTATAAATTGTGCTTTGTGAACAAAATAGAATGTATCTGAAAATATAAATTCACACCATACATTCACGTGTGTGGGAGGATCTGTGTGAGAGAGAGTGTGTACAGGGGATGGGGTCACCTGTAGTGCGACATGAACCCAAGATCCCAGTTGAGGCCATCCTCATTGGTAACGAACTTGGCTATAAGCCTCCCCCTTCCCCCTCTCTCTCTTTCACTCCCGAATCTATGGGGTGAATTTGTATTTGCAGATACATTCTATTTTGTTGAAAAAGCACAGTATTTATACAGTCAATGTGGCATTTTATAAATTCCCACTTTAGAAATAAAACTAGTCTGACTCCAAACCACAACACAAACAGAATCTAAACAAGGCCACACACCTAACATGCATTGTCTGACCTAAAATGTCACTTGTTTACACTGGTAAAACTTCAGTTCTCTCAGGGTAGTGACTTGAAAGAAATTTGGGGATTTACATATGAATCAGTTAAAACTTTTTAAACTGATTAAAGATTTAACAGCATCTTAGGTTTGTTTAATATATCCTCATCAGTGGTGTGACCTTTCAATCTTTTACTTAAAAATTCTGTCTGATACTACCTCTCTCACTAACACCTGAAGGAGGAGTGAAGCTCCAAAGGTTGGAGTTTTCAAAATGAACCTGTTGGACTATAACCTGGTGTTGTGTGATTTCTGACCTTGTCCACCCCAGTCCAACACCGGCACCTCCATACCTCATGAGGATGACACTCTACCATCTAAAAGCAAAACATCCCCATTTCTATCTTAAAGAAGACTGACATTCTCACCTTCTCCTTAGACTCTGCTGTAAGCCCAGTTAGCTGTGTGTAGCTCAGTGCTGGTTCCCATGCAATAAAATCACTTACTGATTTTTCTGCTGCTTCCCAGTGTTGGCTCCTGATTGCCACCTGCAGTGTTTCTTGGTTTACTGCATGTTGTCAGGCCTAGCGCTGTCTCTTTATTCTTTCAACATCAGTGTTCACAGATTTATGTTTAAAGAAAAAAAGTGTTTTGCGACATTGTCCTAGAATATGGTTCCTCCTTGTACACAAATCCTGCAGTTCCCCTTTAACATCAGCCTGACTGATGTCTGCTTCAAAATGAACACTGAGCATGCTGCAGTCTAGGAGAGAACTCTGTGCCATGGTCCCAGATCAGTCCCCCACTGGTGTGGGTCCTGGACAGTGATTTCCCTTCTCCAGGACCCTGGCTTTGACCCCTGTGCACGTGTCTTCCTCAGAGGAGTCCGAGAGTCTCCAGCTGTTCTCGTGCAGCTTGGCTTCTACTTTCAGCCGGCTGGCCTGGACTGCAGCCAGTATACTCGGCAGATCCCACTGTGTCCTGATCAACGCATTGTCCACTGTGAAAATCCCATCACGTGTGCGGCGGACATGAGTACACACTGCCGACGACTTTAGCTCCAAACCCATCTCGTGGACAACATTCCGCAGGTACTGCTGGGTCTCGTGCAGACACTGGATCTCTGGGAAGGAAGGATAAAGTTTATCAACAAGTTGGATGTTGTCAGTGTACCTGTGCAAGCTGTAATGATTTTTGATAATGTCACTGTGGGGCAGCAGTGTGTCGATGAGAATTAGTGAGAGACTGGGGATCAATCCCCGACGACCACAGTGCTTGGTGCAGGAAGAGGGGCCATTGCAACTGATTCTTTGGTGATGATCAAACAGATAAGAATGGAACTGGGTGACAGTGGAGGGGGCTGCTGGAAGGAAGGTTTACCTTTCTAAAATTAAACAATGCTGTGAACCTGAAACAAAAAAAATTTACTGGTGAAACTCAGCAGACCTGGGAACATCTGTGGGAAGAAAGCACAGTTAACATTTCAAGACCAGTGACTCTTCATCTTAGTTTTCACAGTTACACAGGAAGTCATCGAGGTGGTTGATGACGGCTGTTTCTTTCCCTGGAACCCTGTTGGAGAGGTTCCAACATGCAATTGTGACAAAAAGACACAAAACTTTAGATGGCAACAACAGATTCAAGGGCTTGGGAGAGGAAAGGGATGTTGCAAGTGGGATGGTAGATTGCAGAGACAGTGAGGTTGAATTTTTTTCCAGGAGAGAGAAGATAGTGACAGATTACAGTAGAGACAGGGAGAACATCCGAGAGACCAGTAACATTATTGGAAGCTGGTTGGTCAGTTTCATGGGAATTGGATGAAAGGAACAGGACATTGTTACGAGATTGTGTTAAACCTTCTCCTCGTGTTCAGCAATTTCCATGCTGCCCATCCCCCCACCATTCCTCTCCTCACTTGTTCCATTGCTCCCCTTCTTTAACCACTCCTCCATTCCCTTCATCTGCTGCCACATTCTCCCTTTTCCCCCTCATTCCTTGTCCTCTCCTCATCCCCCCCATAATGAGTTGTTGACTTCACACTGACTATCTGGAACTGTTTCCCTTATCCAGAAGCTCTCAGACCCTGCAGCCTACACACGGGTCGGGTAGGGATTTGGGAAGACCAGGTCTCAAATGAAGATATAAAAGTAGCCAATGATGAAGGCAAGGGTCGATGGAAGATAACGGTGGGCCTGGGAATTGGAGCAGCAGCCACTATATGTATACAGATGGACATATGCCTGGCTACAATTATAACAGTAAACAGGAAATAACCCAGAGACAATAAGGAGAGGGTGCAGACGTGTTGCAATGAAGTAATCTTGCTGTTTACATGGTGAAAGCAGCAACGTCAAGCTCAGTCTGTGCTGAATTCGCTGACACTGTCGGACAGTCAGGGTGGAGATCACACACTGCCCTCTCTCACTCTGAGACAGTGGGGGAGGGCTGGTTTATACTCTGCCCTCTCGAGGTGTCTGGTTACACAATGTCCTTTCCCACTTTGGGACAAGGTGTGGAGTGTGTGAGGGGGATGACAGATAGGGTTGCCAGCAGAAGGTGCAGACCAGTTTGTGCAGTGTTGGTGAATGGGCTGTGAAACTCTCAGATTAATCTTGTGTTGACACCTCACTTGTGAAGAATGGACTGGACCCATAATTGAGGAGCTGCTTCTCAGCTTCAAACGTCATGCAAAATAACTGAGTACAGGGGATATCAGGAAGCCCCTCACTCTATGGTGTGTTTCAAAAAGGTACTGACATACCCAGTGTGAAGCTCGGAGGGGAGAAGTGTACACATCGAATAGCGGTAATGATCGGAGGGGATTTATTCACAGGCCGTAACAAACCCCGGGATGCAAGTTCATAGGCCTCTTGACTTTTCAAATCAACATCTGAATACCTGCAACAAAGAACAGTGTTACTGAGATTACAGAGAATTGTTCATCCAACTAGCTCATTATACTTCCACACTGGCACCCATGTGCTCTACCAGCCTCACCAGGAACCAACCTCTTACACTGGCATACCCTACCAATCTCAGCAGCATCAACACCCAACGCAACGTGCTGACTCCCATGCTGACAATGTGGGTCTATCTACACAACCAAAGACTGCAGTGATTCAAAAGGCAGCTCACCAATACTTTCTCCAGGGTCAATTAGGGATGGGCAGCAACATGTACAAATAAAATAATCACACTGCTGACACCAACACTGCTATCCATTGCCACTATTGAGTGGTTGAGGTATTTCAACAAAACCAACTGACCCCCGCAGTCTCATCTCTACCTGCCAGTATAATTGACAACATTAACAAAAAACTGTCAGGAAGAACACGGCCCTCAGCTTTCCATCCTGTGCTGTATCAGCTGGAAACAGCCAGGGTGTGGTGAGGGAGCTATACAGCTGGTATCAGAGCCCCAGATATCTTGGGGTGGGTGGGGAGGGGACAGATACGAGTGAGTGGAATGGTCCTGACAAAGAACCCATCAACAAAGGCCCTATCCCAGCCCCAAATTCACAGAGAACATGAGCAGAGCTCAGGGAAATGGGCAGAGGCAGAGATGGGTGTCCTTCCACCAAAGGGGGTTTAATAATGGTGTTCTCATCTCTCAATGACAGAAGGCTTTGATCAAGTCAGTCAGTCAGCCAGCAGAAAGTGCTTCCACTCACACAGAGCAGTCACCATGGAAATTAGGTTGAAGGTAATTGGCAAAACCTCCCAAGGGGAAGTGACAATCCTTTGATGCAGTGAGCTGCACTGTTGGAAAAGGGAACAGGAACACATTCAATAAGAACCTTCAAAAGGGAACTGGACAAATAACTGAAAAGGAGGAATTTGCCAAGCTATAAGAAGCGAGCAGGGTAACTAGACTAACGGTCACACTTTCATTGAGCTAGCACCAACCCAATGGGCCAAATAACCCATTCTGTTTCAATGATGCTTGTTTTGATGCTAATTTCCATTGCTCTGGTTAGCTGGTTTCTCTTCACTGTGGCAGGATAGACGATCACTTGGGCTTCTTGATAAAAGCTCGGTGAAGGGGTGATCACATACACGCTCCCTTACTTACTGCACCCCCCGCTCTCATACGTACGTTAGCAGTGCTCGTTGGTGGCTGCCCTGGATCACAGCAATGATACGCTCTAGCCTGTCCCGTGTGATGTGATCTGCAACACAACATCATCCACTCTCAGTTCAGACAAAAGCAGAGGCTCCAACAGGGAGCAACAAGAGCTGCATACACTATCCCAAGGGCACTGCAGTGCCAAGAACCCTGTCCTGAGGAATAGCTGCCATGGTCAGGGTGCCAGAAGGAGCCTGGCAGGTGATTGTACTGGCCGAGCCAGAAGCAGGATGGCTGCTGCTTATCCAGGATTGAGGAGGAGTTCCAGTGTCCACCATGTGCCTGTGACAGGCTGCGGGGGAAGTACAGGCAGTGAGCTCAGGTCACGGCAGTCAGAGTCATTTGTGCAGGTTCACTGGCTGGCGGTTGTTTCCCGACCAACATGAAACCGACGTGCCAACAAAAGCCAGAGTGTCCCAGATCAGACACAGCTTTCCAAATCAAATCATTCAAAATTCAGAACAGAGGCACATCCACAAAACATTTCCAAAATGAGATGGGAAGGCAAAATGAACTTCAGGGACGGGGGAATCAAGATTGAGGCTGACTGTTATAAACAGGACAACAGGCAGGATTCTGAAGAGGGAGAAGATCAAGGGATATGGCAGGGTGAGACATGGGATTAAGTTGTAAAGAGATTATTGGGATGATCTGTTCCTCCAAATCCATCATGAATGGGGCCAGTCGGGGGGAGGAGGTTCCAGATAGTGAGCCCCAGCATTTAGGCATCTCCTGACTGCTTCTAAACCGATAGCTGATTCAGGAAATTTAGGCCTTCAGGCCCACAGATTCTCTGTCCTGCTGAGTTGACACAGATCTCCAGTTCTTACGATAAGTTGTTCTCTCGATCACTCTGCCTGTGTTTGAGAAGTCCTCAGTCGCTGTCCCAAAGCTGCCTTTTACAATGTATTCCTGAGAAATCAAAAACAGTCTGATAACAGGTGTCACTGTGCAATCGGCTCAGACTCCAATAGGGGCTCATTTAGCACCAAGTAAATAACAAACACACAAAATTACAGAAGGGAAGCCAAAATATTAGATTGCAGGTACAGCAAATAATCACAAAGGCACATGGTGCAAGGGGAATTGAATATAAAAGTAGGGAAGTCTTCCTAGAACTGAACAGGGATTGCTGAGACCTGACTTGGAGTACTGGGTACAGTTTTGTTTCCTTACGTAAGGAGGGATAAACCTGTAGTGGATGTTCTAACAAGGTTGTCTTGGCTGATTCCTGATATGTAGGGGTTGCCTTAGAAGGAAAAGGTGAACAGGTTGGACCATTCTCATTGGCATTTAGAATACTGGGAGGGGATTCTGAGAGCTGTTTCCACCTGGGCTGGGGAGTCTAGAACATGGGGTACAGTCTCAGCAAAAGGGGCTGATCATTTCAGACTGAAAGGAGGTGAAATTACTTCACTCAGAGGGTGGCAAGTCTTTTGAGTTCTTTCCCCAAAGGGTAATGGATGCTCACCCTCAGCAACTCTCTCTTGATACCTTTTCAAAAACCTCAAGCAAGCTAGTTAAACACAGTTGTGCTGTGCTGACTCCTATCAATGAACCTGCATTTGTCCTTGTGTTTATTAATTTTACTCTGAAATGTAGTTCTACAGTCTTGCCCATCACAGCGGTTGAACTACAGTTGCCTGTAGTTGCTGAGCTTATCTTCACTCCTGATTTTGAACAATGGTGTAAGATTTTTAATTCTTCAGTCCTCTGGTATCAGTCACAGCCATGGAAGTTTAGAACATTAGGGCTAGTACCTTGCAATTTCTACCTTCCCTTCCCTTAGTATATGCATCACGTCCTCCTGGTGCTTTACCAACTTCAAGGATACATGGCTGCCCAATACCCCCTCATCATCAACTTTCAACTGCTCTAGTGTCTGACTGACCCACATCTTTCACCTTGATACTTGCTCATTTCACACCTCAGCCCTGCCTACATGCACTGTTATTGCTCCCTAATTAGGGTGGCATGGTGGCTCAGTGGTTAGCACTGCTGCCTCACAGCGCCAGGGACCCGGGTTCGATTCCAGCCTTGGGCGACTGTGTGTGGAGTTTGCACATTCTCCCTGTGTCTGCGTGGGCTTCCTCCGGGTACTCCGGTTTCCTCCCACAGTCCTAGGATGTGTAGGTTAGGTGGATTGGCCATGCTAAATTGCCTGTAGTATTCAGGGATGTGTAGCTTAGGTGGGTTATAGGGGGATGGGTCTGGGTGGGACGCTCCAAGGGTCGGTGTGGACTTGTTGGACCAAAGGGCCTGTTTCCGCACTGCAGGGATTCTATGATCTAATTGGCCACACTCCTCCTCCTATGACCAACAGAAGGCTACTTTTAAATTAGCTGCCAGGCTCTTCACATTCTTTGTTGTTCTACTTTCCCTCTCATACATCTGTATTTAGTTTAGTCCTCTTATTTTCTTCACCTGGCACCTGTCAAGATTACAGTTTACTTGCTCCATCTCTGAACAGCCAGACAACTCTGGGTTTAAGGTTTTTGCAAAGCCCTGGGTTTGTTTGTTCTTCCTTTCGTCTTCCTGGGGAACATAACTGGATGTGAACTACCTCTTCTTGTCCCCAATCCTTTTGTACAGGCAAACTAAACCACAAGATATAATTAATCGCTACCACCAAAATACTCCATTAGCAATTGATAAACTTGGGCCAGCACATTCCTCAGAACCCGTTCCTACAAGGTCTCACTTCTCATGAGCTATCAATGCAGCACTCCCTCCGCACTGACCCTCCGAGTGTGGCACGTCCTCAGTACTGACCCTCTGACAATGCAGCATTCCTTCAGACTGAATTGTCAGTCTGGTTTATGAGTTTGTGGAATATGGTTTGAACCCATGGCCCAGTGGGTATAATTACTGATTCAGGAGAGTAGCTGTTGTGTGATGTGGAACCCTGTGAATTGGCTATTTATTGAGAAGGACCGGTTCCAGACTGCAGGGAAAGTCTGCTCCCAGAACCCCTGAGTAGTATTACCTTGGTCAGGTGACAGTGGTAGAGACTGTTTAGCTGCTTGTTTCCATTTCCAACGCCCAGCACTGTCAAGATAAAACAGCAGTCTGTTAGTGATTTGCCTGAAGCTACAAGGCCACCCATTCTGGAAGCTGCATTGTTACAACCATTTCAGTGGGTGCTGTGTTTGGGGCAGAAGCTCACAATTACAACCAGGCTGCTCAGGGGTGATGTCAATTTGATAACCTTGGGTCTGTTGGCTTCAGAAAACCTTTGAAACAAAACAGATCGAGAAACAAAATTCAGTGTCACAACACACACTTACCCAGCACACCAGAGGATTGCAAATCCAGGCGGTGACCAGCCCCCACCTTCAGACCAACAAACCTTGGACCTGTAACTGGAATAGAACAACTGAGAGTTAGTAAATGCCAGCATTAAATACTGCAACGCTGCCAACTCCAGCATTGCAATTACATGGGCAAAGAAACCGCCTGCTGATTTCCATGTACTGGTGAATCAGTGCTCCTCCACATTGAACAACACTTGGAGAAAACACAGATTGGAAATGGAGCAGAATGTACTCTAGGTGAAGGATTTCTTTGTCCACCACCAAGTGTGGCTCGGCAGCAGCACTACTGATCGAGTTGGTCAGGTCCTAAAGGACAAGGCTGGATCTGCAGCAGGTGGTGACGGAACCAACGAGAGAAAAACATACTTGAATTCATCCTTACCAATCTGCCAGCTGCAGATGCACCTGTCCATGACAGTATTGGTAAGAGAGACCACCGCACAGTTCTTGTGGAAACCAAGTCCAACCTTCACATTGGGAGTAAGCTCTATCATGTTGTGTGGCACTATTACCGTGCTAAATGGGACAGACTTCATACAGATCTAGCATTCATTGGGCACTGTGAGCCATCAACAGCAGCAGAATTGTATTCCAGCACAATCTGTAACCTCATGGCCCAGCATATCCCCCACTCAACCATTACCATCAGACCAGGGGATTAACCCTGGTTCAATGGAGAGTGCAGGAGGGCATGCCAGGAGCAGCTCCAGGCATACCTGAAAATGAGCGGTGTGTGTGGTTTGTGGCAGTGTGGAAAAACAGAATGAGGTTGTTGGAAAGCTAGGGGAGCAGAAGGGAAAGGCGGATCCCTGAGGACTGGCTACGTTGCCAGAAAATCAGAGTTTAACTTCACAGGGAAGCACGTGGGTGAGTATTTTGCTCGTTTATCTTTCAATACTTGATTTATCGCATTACATCTCACCAAAACAGTGCATTGAAAATTAAGCCGTGCAACTCTCAGAGTCATTACAAAAGTTAAACATTTTTCTATAAGTATGACATTCTCACCAACATTCATACCACCATCCTCAAAGTTTCCCAGTTCCCTGGGACCAATTAACATAGCTGTTGGCAGGCAGATAGCCTTGGTCTGGAGACTACGGACCAGTTATCAATCAGCTACTTAAAAACCAAAAGAACTGTGGATGCTGTAAATCAGGAACAAAAACAAAGTTGCTGGAAAAGCTCAGCAGGTCTGGCAGCATCTGAGAAGGAGAAAACAGAGTTAACGTTTCGGGTCCGGTTCTGAGGAAGGGTTACTGGACCTGAAACGTTAACTCTGTTTTCTCCTTCACAGATGCTGCCAGACCGGCTGAGCTTTTCCAGCAACTTTGTTTTTGATCAATCAGCTACTTCTTGTCATTCAAAACTCCATTCATACTCACTCTCTGGGCTCCAGCACATCTGCAAATTAAGCTGTACCCACTGTTTGAACAGCAGCTGTGTAAACAGTACTTACAATGAATGTCAGGTTACTTGCTTTCCTTATATAAAAAAAAATCGCAGCAATCCTTCAATTATTTTCCCCCCAAACTGTTCTTTTTCCCCTTTCAGTTCACAATCAAAAATTCAGAAAGGTATCAGGTTTTATCAAGTATTAGTGGCGATTTTCTCAATTAGTAAGGCTCAGTAACAGGTTAGTTTATTATTATTCACAAAGTATTTTCAGCTATGGCAAGCTTTATTTAGGTTGACTAGTATTAACACGTTTTTATTATAGGGTGGCTCGGTGGCTCAGTGGTTAGCACTGCTGCCTCACAGTAGCAGGGACCCAGGTGCGATTCCCTCCTCGGGCAACTGTGTGTTCAGTTTGCACATTCTCCCTGTGTCTGTGTGGGTTTCCTCCGGGTGTTCTGGTTTCCTCCCACAATCCAAAGATGTGCAGGGTAGGTGGATTGGCCATGCTAAATTTCCCGTAGTGTTCAGGGATGTGTAGATTAGGTGGGTTATAGGGGGATGGGTCTGGGTGGGATGCTCTGTGGGGCCGAAGGGCCTGTATCCACAACGTAGGGATTTTATGAACTATTCTTTGATCTATTAATGAATAAAGGAATGACTGGGCTGCTCCAAGCTGGATCATAATCCTGGAATTCCCTCCCTAAGGGCATTGTGTGTCCCAATAGCACATGGACTACAGCAATTCAAGGAGGCCACTCACCGCCACCTTCACTTGGGCAATTAGGGATGGGAAATAAATGCTGGCCCAGCCAGCGATGCTCACATCCCTGAGAAGTTTTTAAAATTACATACAGCAATATTGTAATTTCTGCAATTATAAGGAATATACTCTAGCCAGAATTAAGAACTGCATTATTGCACCCCCACAGTTTTAATGACTGCATGAATGCAGAATGCATTCAATCCCCCTCCCATTGATTCTATGTCTAGAGTTTACAGCACAGTCCACTGCAATCTGTATTCAGTGCCCTTACCTCGAGGGTGATCAGCCAGCACTGGGACCCGGGTTACAGTCAGATGCGTTTCATTTCCGTTCTCATCCTTGATTACACTTGGCACATATCGGATTTGCTGCCGAACAACTGGTTGCTCCAAGGTATTGAGTTCTGTCCCAGGATGATAAGACACAAGATTAAAGAGATCCTTATCATTGTTCCAAGCAGATATGACAACAGCTTACAACACAGAAAACCAAAGGATTGGCAGGGGGTAGGTGTCACTGGCTGGGCTGAGGGTCAGTGTTAGGGGTGACAGGGTCACGGTTCGGGGGGGTCACAGGCTGGAGGTAAGGATCATCAGAGAATCCGAAAGTGTGGAAGCAGGCCATTTAGCCCGTCAAGTCCACACCGCCCCTCCAAAGAGCATCCCACCAAGACACCACCTCCAACCCTATAATCCTGCATTTCCCATGGTTAATGCACCTAGCCTGCACATCCCTGGACACTATCGGCAATTTAGCATGGCCAATCCACCCCAACTCAGACTGTGGGAGAAAACCCACAGACAGTCGCCTGAAGCTGGAATGGAACCCGGGTCCCTAGCGCTGTGAAACAGCAGTGCTAACCACTGAGCCACCGTTATACCCTAAGGGCTGGTGTTATGGCTTACAGGCTGGGGTTAAGGCCCAGGTCAGGGCTGAGGGTCAGTGTTAGGGGTGACAGGCCCAGGTCAGGGGTGAGCGTCAGTGTTAGGGGTGACAGGCCAAGGTCAAGGGTGAGGGTCAGTGTTAGGGGTGACAGGCCCAGGTCAGGGATGAGGATACAGGTTAAAGGTGAGTTCGGCGCCCTCAGTGCCCTGAAGCCTCACCATTCAAGAGTTTGGTTTCCACGGTGTCTCGGAGCCGTTTCCAGTGAACTCCGGGCGGTTTGTAAACAGCGAACATGCCGTGCAGCCTCTGTAAAGCGGAGCGTAACAATACGGCCATCCCGGCCCCTACGAACTCCGACCAGGGCAAGCACAGCCTCCAGCACCCAGTGGTCCCGGCTAGAGCCTCTGATCCCTAACCCCACCACATGATCCTCCGCCTCCGGCTCCAACTGCACATGCGCGCTTCCCGCCCCGCACTGTGCTCATTGGTCAGTCTGCTCACACCGTCCTTGCTCATTAGCAGCCAGCCTTTCCCCCTCACAGCGCCTGCAGCTCTGGAGGTCTCACTAACACCCCGCCACATCTAACTCTCACAGCGCCCCCTGCAGCTCTGGAGGTCTCACTAACATTCCCGGAGGGCTCACTAGCAGTACCCTCACCAACTCTCGCAGCGCCCCCTGCAGTAGCGGAGGTCTCACTGTTTCTCGGGCTGTCAGGCTGTGACTGAGAGTGAAATGTTGTCCCTCAGCAGGTTGAGAATCTGAAATGGCTTTGTCCAATTGTCACTCAAGACGATCTGGGGCAGCACAGAGGGAATGCTGTTCTGCTGTAGGTGCTGATATCTCTATGAGAATTAAAGAAGGCACCTACTTCTCTGAGTGAGCATGTGAGGTGGGGGAGGAACTTCCCTGCCCAGTATTTGTCCCTCAACGAAAAGATTAATGCAGTTCTGTCAGCAGAGTCTTGCTATGCTTCAAATGCTGCTGTCTGAAGGCTGGAATTTCTGAGATGTCATTGAATCCCTACAGCGCAGAAAGAGGCCATTCAGCCCGTTGAGTCCGCACCAACCTCCGAAAAGCATCCCACCCAGACCCACTGCCCCACCCTATCCCATGGCTAATCCACCTAACAATGTGGAATCAGGCCATTTGGCCCATCAAGTCCACACCCACCGTCCAAACAGCATCCCACCCAGACCCACCCGATTCGTGTAACTGAATTTCCCAAGGCTACTCCACCTCGCCTGCACACACCTGGACGCTATGGGCAATTTAGCATGACCAATCCACCTACCTTCACATGTTATTAGTGGATTGTGGGAGGAAACCGAGCACCTGATGGAAACCCACACAGGCACAGTGGGGGGAGCGTGCAAACTCCACACAGACAGTTGTCTGAGGTTGAAATTAAAACTCTCCAGCCCAGGCTACATCCTGGTAAATCTTCCCTGCACCCTCTTCAGTGCTATCACATCCCTTCTATAATGTGCATTCCAGAACTGCACACAATACTCTTAGCTGTGACCAAACCAATGTTTTATACAGTTCCAGCATAACCTCCCTGCTCTTAAATCCTGTGCCTCAGCAAATAAAGGCAAGTATCTATATGCATTGTTAACCACTTTACCTGTCCTGATGCCTTAAGGGATGGATATACACACATACCAAGGTTCCTCTGATGCTCAGTGCTTCCCAGTGTCTTACCATTCATCATGTATTTCTTGCTTTATTCCTGCCCTAGTGCATAACCTCATATTTACCCAGATTGAATTCCATTTGCCAATTGTCAGCTTGACTACGTCTTCCTGTAATCTAAAGCTAGCCTCCTCACCAATTTTTGTTATCATCTGCGAATGGGTGGCACAGTGGCTCAGTGGTTAGCATTGCTGTCTCACAGTGCCAGGGACCCAGGTTTGATTCCACCCTTGGAATCCTGCGTGGGTTCCCTCTGGGTGCTCCGGTTGCCTCTCACAGTCCAAAGTTGTGCGGGTTAGGTGGATTGGCCATGATAAATTGCCCGTAGTGTTCAGGGATGTGCAGGCTTGTGGATTAGCCATAAGAAAAGCAGGGTTACACAAATTGGGTGGGCTGCTGTTTGGATGGTGGGTGTGGACTTGATGGGCCAAATGGCCTGCTTCCACATTGTAGGGATTCTATGATAACATAAATAAGGATGAGACTTCTTTTTATTCACTCATGGTATATGGGTGTCGCTGACTGTTCAGCATTTATTGCCCGTCCCTAGTTGCTCTTGATAAGTAGGTGGTGAGCTGCCTTCTTGAACTGCTGCAGTCCATCTACTGCAGATTGACCACAATGCCATCAGACAGGAAGTCCAGGATTGTGACCCAGCGATAGTGAAGGAACCGTGATATATATCCAAATCAGGATAGTGAGTGTCTTGGAGGGAAATTTGCAGGTGCTGGTGTTCCTGTGTATCTGCTGTCCTTGTCCTTCTAATGGAAGTGGTTGTGAGTTTGGAAGGTGCTGTCTAAGGATCTTTGGTGAATTTCTTCAGTGCAGGTGCAGATTGGTGTTACTGAGCGTGCGTGGTGGAGGGAGTGGATGTTTGTGGATGTTGTGCCAATCAAATGGGCTGCTTTGTCCTGGATGGTTTTCAAACTTCTTGAGTGTTATTTGAGCTGCACCTATCCAGACAAGTGGGGATTATTCCATCACACTCCTGACTTGTGCCTTGTAAGTGACAGACAGGCTTTGGGAAGTCAGGAGGGGAGTTACTCACTGCAGTATTCCTAGACTCTGACCTGCTCTTGTAGTGTCTGGTGAGTCTAGGTGAGTTCGTGGTCAATGGTAATTCCGAGGATGTTATTAGTGGGTATTCAGCTTTGGTAACACCATTAAATGTCAAGGGGTGGTGGTTAGATTATCTCTTATTGGAGGTGATCATTGTCTAGTATTTGTATGGCTTGATTATTACTTGCCACTTGTCAGCCCGAGCCTGGATATTATCCAGATCTTGTTGCATTTGAACAAAGACTGCTTCAGTATCTGAGGAGTTGCGAATGATGCTGAACATTGTGCAATTTGTTGATGAACATCTCACTTCTGACCTTATGATGGAGGGAAGGTCATTGATGAAGCAGCTGAAGATGGTTGGGCCTAGGACACTACCCTGAGAAACTCCTGCAGAGATGTTCTGGATCTGAGATGATTGACTTCCAACAACATGACCATCCTCCTATGTGTCAGGTATGACTCCAACCAGTGGAGAGTTTGCCCCTGATAGCCATTGATTCCAGTTTTGCTAAGGCTCCTTGATGCCACATTCAGTTGAATGCAGCTTTGATATCAAGGGCTGTCACTTTCACCTTACCTCTGGAATTCAGCTCTTTTGTCCACATTTGAACTAAGGTTGTAATGAGGTCAGGAGCTAAATGGCCCTGGCGGAACACAAACTAGGTCTAGAGTCTACTCTAAATCAAAGAGATGCCCTTTTGGAATGGGCGTGAACACTGACAGTGCACCTTCCTGATAAAAGCCTGAGGAGTGAGGCTTAGATTGAGGTGAGTTAGAGAAGCAGCTAAACCCCAGCAGGAACCCTGACAGAATTTGGAAAGGACTGACAAACATGACGTTGGTGTAAGGCAGTGAGTTGATTGGTGACTAGTGGATAAGTTGTTTTTGTCAACTTTAAACTGCATTGAGGAAGGTCAGAGTTCAAACTTCATTTTAAAAGTAATCTTAATTTTAATTTTCTTGTCTTGTACACAGGGTGTAGTGATGAGCTTTGAGGATAAGGAGAAACATTGTGTGCTCTACGTGGAGCCAGAGGCTGAGCAACTCAGGAGGATCAGGAGCAGCAAACACCAAGGAGTGAGGGTTAGATCCCATCCCCTCCCAAAGTTGAGTTACAGCAGAGAGTGTGTCTCTCACCCAGGCTCAGGGGGTCTAGACATGTCTGGACTGGAACATGGAAAAGAAGGGGGATGGTCTATATCTGTCACTGTCCTCACTGGGACCAGTAACTCAGGGAGTGTGAGAGAAGAGACACAGCATTAGACAAGATGATTGAAATTAAAAGTGAGGACCTGAAAGTTAACCATCTCAGGATTATTACCTGAACCACATGCCAATTGACCCAGGAGCAAACTGGTGGAAACCAGAATGAGTCACTGATGGACTGGTGTGGGCAAAAGGATTGACACTTAAGGAGCAATGGCACCAGAAGGAGCTGGAACACTGGCATGAAGTTGGCTTCAGGGCTCCAATCTCAACTCCAAAATCTTCCAGGGAGTCATGGGTAACCTGGGTTTGACCCAGTGGAAGAGTTCAGTGTATCAGCTGCAGTCACAGAAACAGTACCCCCAGACCTGAAAAACAATGATGAGGGCACATTGTCATAACTACCCGCTCTGATGGGATGAAGGAGTCCCTTCTGTTTGCCACCAACGGGTCGACTGGGTTTTATTCCATTTGAATTAGTTTGGAGGCCCCAAATGCGAGGGTCTCTGAAACTCATTGAGGAGGGCTCTTTAGTTCGGAAGGGAGGGGGTCTTGTGATTCTTGGCTTTGCTGTTAGTTGAAATCCCTTTGCCCTGTTTCCTTTCGACAGTGGTTGACAATGTCAGCGTTGACAGCAAGACAGTCCTTCTTATCCTGTTTCCTTCGGACTGACTTGCAGGTGAGTTGGCTTCTAACACTCAGAGTAAGAGACTGTTCTACTTGTAATTCAGGGGTGACTAATGGATTTTTCTTTGCCTGCGACTTCCAAGCACACTAGCATTCTAACCTAGGCTCACAGACTTGAGCCTCAGTTCACTACAGTACTTCCTCCCACCATGACACAAACCAGGTTGCAGTCAGGTTTTAACCCTTTTTTTGTATATTCCTAGAAAGGTGACACACAGAACACGTCTGCAAGAACATATTCTGCTGACAGGAGAAAGACAGTCTGCCCCCTGGTTATTCTCATATCCCTATTTGTGATGTTATCTATAATCTTTACATTCTGATCTCTAGCCTTGATCTTTCTGCTGGCTTTTTGGTAATCCGTTGTTCTCATTCAGCATGGTGTATCTCTCAGCATCATGCAAAGCCCTGTCTGTTTTCCCATTAATACCCTCAGGCTGATGATGAGCTACTTTGGTGCTATTGCACATGTCTCTAGCTTTCTTGAAAGAATGTCTCTCCTGTCTCAGCGGATATGGTCTCACAGCATTATCATTTGCACCTAAAACAATCCTATCTCTGATGATCTTCCAATTGTCCAAACTCTCAGGACACAGCTGGATGCATCACTGCAGTCACATTCTGAGCACTAACCTACATTCCTTTCCACTTGAGTATTGGTGCTGAACAAATACTGTCCATAAGAGTGAAATTAATATTGAGTTCAAAGCGTGTCTTCAAAACTGGTGAAATCACTCCTTTCTGTCTTTGATGAGACCTTTTTGGAAGACTATCTCCCCAGCACTGATAGCAGGGTTTCTACACTTATATGGTCAGGTTTTTAAAATTAATTCTATGGTTCTTTCACAGCTTTGCCACTGAGAGTGGAAAAAATTCCAATCCTGTCTCATAATGCCTTTCATTTTCACAGCAT